CAATTTCTATTAATGAAATCGAAAACGTAATTAAGTCATTACCTACAAAGAAGAGCCCAGGCCCAGATGACTTGACTGCAGAATTCTACAAGAAATACAAAGAGGACCTAATGCCGACACTCCTCCAACTCTTCAATGAAATTGAAAGGGAAGCAATCCTTCCCAAGTCATTCCTGGAAGCAAATATTACTCTAGTACCAAAACCTGAGAAAGACCCAACTGAAAAAGAGAACTACAGACCAATCTCCCTAATGAACACACATGCAAAAATCCTCAATAAAATATTGGCAAATAGGATGCAGCAAGTCATCAAGAAGATTATACACCATGACCAAGTGGGATTCATTCCAGGTATGCAGGGATGGTTCAATATACGTAAATCAGTAAATGTAATCCACCATATCAATAGAGTCAAAAGTAAAAATCACATGATAATTTCCATAGATGCAACAGTCTGTACCTTTTGATAAGGTACAACAGTCATTTATGATAAGAACCTTACAGAAAACTGGAATAGATGGTCTTTACCCCAACATAATAAAGGCCATCTATGACAAACCAACAGCCAGTATCATACTAAATGGCCAAAAATTGAAGGCCTTTACTTTAAAATCAGGCACAAGACAAGGATGTCCCCTGTCACAACTCCTATTTAATATAGTACTGGAAATACTAGCCAGAGCAATTAGACAAGAGAGAGAAATAAAAGGCGTAAAGATAGAAAAAGAAGAAGTTAAATTATCACTATTTGCAGATGATATGATACTCTACATAGAAGACCCCCAAAACTCCATTGAAAGACTCCTAGATATAATAAATAAATTCAGCAATGTGGCTGGATACAAAATCAATACTCAAAAATCAATAGCCTTCTTATACACTAACAACAAAATCACAGAGAGAGAAATAAGAGAAGCCACGCACTTCACACTAGCAACCAAGAAAATGAAATATTTAGGAATTACTCTCATGAAAGAAGTGAAAGACCTATACAGGGAAAATTATAATACATTGAAAAATGAAATTGAAGATGATCTCAGAAAATGGAAAGACATCCCTTGCTCATGGATAGGAAGAATAAATATTGTAAAAATGGCCATTCTCCCAAAACTGTTATACAGATTCAATGCAATCCCAATAAAAATATGTATCATATACCTCATAGATTTCGAGAAATCAATCCCAAAATTCATCTGGCGTGAGAAGAGACCTAGAATAGCAAGGACGGTTCTAAGCAGCAAAGGCAAGGCAGGAGGTATCACAATCCCTGACTTGAAGTTATACTACAAAGCAACTGTAATAAAATCAACATAGTACTGGAATCAAAACAGAGCCGAAGACCAATGGAATAGACTAGAAGATACAACCACAACTACAAACACACTCAACCACCTTATCTTTGATAAAGGGGCCAAACAGGTTCACTGGAAGAATGACAGTCTCTTTAATAAATGGTGTTGGAAAAACTAGCTCTACATATGCCGAAAACTAAAACTAGACCCATGCCTGTCACCATATATGAAAATAAAATCTAAATGGATCAAAGATCTAAATATTAAAACAGAAACACTAAATCTACTGGAAGACAAATTGGGTAAAAACCTTGAAGACATAGGGGTAGGTAGAGAATTCATGAACAAGACTCAAACCGCACGGGAAATACTTCCCAGAGTCAATAACTGGGATCACATCTTATTAAAATGTTTCTGCACATCAAAAGAAATCTCTAACATAGTGAAAAGAAAACCCACAAACTGGGAAAGAATCCTAGTTAACTGCCCCTCAGACAAAGGACTTCTGTCTAAAACATACAAAGAATTAAAAAAAATCAGACCCCCAAAATTCAAAGACCCCATCCAAAAATGGGCATCGGAGATGAATAAAAAATTTTCGGATGAAGAAATACAAACAGCAAATAAATATATGAAAAAATGTTCAGCATCACTAGTCATTAGAGAAATGCAAATCAAAACCACACTGAGATTTCATCTCACTCCTGAAAGAATGGCCAAGATCAAGAAAACTACCACCAACAAATGCTGGAGAGGCTGTGGGGAAAAAGGAACTCTCCTGCACTGTTGGTGGGAGTGTAGACTGGTGCAACCATTGTGGAGGTCAGTCTGGAGATTTCTCAGAAAGCTGGAACTGGAAGCCCCATTTGACCCAGCTATTCCACTTCTAGGCATATTCCTAGAAGAACTGAAAGCATCATACCACAGTGATATATGTGCACCCATGTTTATAGCAGCACAATTTGTAATAGCCAGATCTTGGAAACAACCTAAGTGTCCATCAACTAAGGAATGGATAAAAAAAGTTGTGGTATTTTTATACAATGGAGTACTACTCAGCTATGAAGAATGATCACATTGAGACATTTATAAATAAATGGACGTAGCTCGAGACCATACTCGTAAGTGTAATAAATCAAACTCACATGTATAAATACCGAATAGTTTCCCTAGTGTAAGAAATGATAAGAATACATGAAAGTACATGGTAATCATGATTCCCAGTCATACTGGTTTGAAGCCATATAATGTTTTCACTCATTAATTGGAATGGTTTTAATTTGGGTTGTTTTGTTTTATTGTCTGTGATACTACAAATAACTATTTTGAAGAGAATAAGAGCGTAATAGCTAGTGCTGATTTAATATCATCCTGTTTTGAAGCCCCATCAAGTTGTTGTTCATGTGTTTCCATTGGTTCTAACATGTTGTATCTTATTATACCTTAATGTATGTGACAGTATAAGCAAGTTTTTTATAGACAAAGAGATAATATAGAAATTGACGTTTGGTTTCTGCTAGCTGGTTCTAAATACCCTGCAATAATTTCATTATCTTGAATGGTTTCTCACTGTCTTGATAAATTTGATGCTATAGTATACGAAGTTAGACTCAAATATTTCAAGGAAAGAGTCACTATGGTAACTACTATTAATGTCAAGCTATCTGGGGGTGAAACACAATGATGCTGAAATTTTTTGGTTCTGACCAGTGTTGTTCTATTGATATGTTTTTTTTATCTCAGTCTCTCCCCCCCCCTTTTTCTTTCCTTTTTTTAAAAATTATTTCTTAGTATCTTTTAACTAAAGGAAAACTAAATTAAAAATAGTGCAATAGATTATAGTAATTTTTTTGTTTCCCTATTAACCTGATTTGAACCCCTGTATTGTTCTCCACATCTTGTTCTTACTGATTTTATTATATTCTGTTTCAGTTAACAGTATCAAGTTTGAGGGTAGAGGCAACCATTTGGAAGGCAACCAGATATTCTACGATGCCTGTTACCGTTTGACTATTATCTTCTTTGGAAGTCCTGTAAGCTCTCCAAAGTGGGTTTTATTGGTCATCTGCACTGTTTTGTTCAATTCTTTTATACCAGCGGATATAGCCTACTCTTTTTAGGATAACAAGAGGCATAATGGTAACCATTGTTGATCATCTAGTAATCCTTTTTTTTTTCATTTTATACTATGTCCATCCTCCTGATCTATCTGACTCTGTTTTGCTTTGTCACATTGGGTTTTTCTTTGGTCCATCTTGTTTTGTTTTGTTTTTTGTTTTTTGGCTTTTTTAAATCTTTTTTCTTTTCCTCTTCAAAGAAAAAGTTATAAAAACTGTGGAAGTAATGGAAACTAAAATGTGTGATTGTTAGCGTAAAAAAGAGAGGAAGGAAAGTGATCTAAAGGATATAACTGCAAGTATGTTTAAATGTGTAGGATAGAGAACCATATTGCTGAGTTTTTCTTGGATCATTGAACAGAGCTGACTGCAATCTCACTGTATTAATCTCCACTTCGTATGCTTTAATTTTGTAATCTGGACAGCTGTTTGTAAAATGACAATGTGTGATCTATTAACTGGTGAACTCTTACTGTATATTTTTTTCTCTTGAAATTCTGTATTACTTCTAGCCTTTTACTGTTTTGCTTCATTTAGTTTTGTTTTTCTCTTTAAATAAAAAAAAGGAAAAAAAAGACCTAAAACTATGAAAATGCTAGAGCAAAACTTAGGGCAAATACTCCAACACATTGAAATAAACATCTTTTTTGATAAGACCCAAAAATACAAACAAGAAAAACAAAAGTAGACAAATGGGATTATATCAAACTAAGAAGCTTCTGCTTAGCAAAGAAAGCAAAGTGATTTCAACATTCAAAATTCACCTTATCAGTAGACTAAGAAAGAAAGCCACAAACCAATGTAGAAAAAGCATTAGATAAACATGTATTTCTATGAAACCTCTTGGTAAATGAGGAATAGGAACTTTTAGCCTGATGAAGAGTATCTATTAAAAGTTAGCAATTAACATAATACTTAACAGTGAAAGATTCAATACTTTCACCCTGAAGTCGACAGCAAGACAATGGTATTTGTTCGCACCATTTCTACTTAATATTGTACAAAAGATTCTAGCTGGAGCAATAAAGCAATAAAAAGAAAAAAAGAATTAAGATCAGAAAGGAGGGAGTAAAACTGTCTTTATTAGCAGGCAATATGATCATCCATGCAGAAACTGACAAAGTTTACAAAGCAGTTACCAAAACCAAGAAGTGAGTTTAGTGAGGTTTTAGCATGTATGATTACCATAAAAAAGCAATTATAAATCTATATACTAGATACAAACAATCCAAAATTGACATTTTAATCTTATTTTCAATATTTTATTCAAATTTCACTATATTTGATTGCTATTCAGTTTATAGTTCATATCTATGGCCATTATCAACTTTTTGTTACAAATGCACAACTTTGGTTTTCATTGTGCTTTTTTGTTTTTGTTTTTGTTTTTTTTTAGTAGGCTTTGGCATGGAAGTGGAATTGGAAACAAAACTCTCACTAGGGACTTTTTTCTACCTTTTAGTTACTATTCCCTGTAGGAAAATAGTATCAAAATCGAGGACCTACTACTTGGAAAGGAATAACTGATTTTACAAGAAACAACATGGAATTTCAAGTTCTTCTAGAAGGTACAAAAAACATAGACACCTACCTGATTTCCTCCGGGTCCCGAAGCAATACAACAAAACAGCAGTAATCACAAGGCCAAGTAACAACCCAGTGACTCCAGCTGTGGCAGCACCAACTCTGCTCCTGGAAATTCCTGAATGGAAAGTTATATACTTGAGTTCCAATGACAAGGACTTTAAATCAAAACCACACAAGTGATGGCTAGAAATATATGAGAGCAGGAATTTTCCAAGTTCTGCTGCCTTTGTTTTAATTTCTATATAACTTACAATTTTAAAAACAATGACTAATAAAGAATGGTTACCATCACCTAAGATTAAAATTTATTTTCTTTCCCTTCCCCTGGGAAATCAGTACCAATTTCAAGAAACCCCAAACCTTAGGGGCATGTAAGAAATTCTCTAACATTGATAGATTTGTGTTGTCTTTTGGATAAATATCTTATTGATCATAACTACGATTTTAGTCTAAGTACCACTCATTAACCCACCTATGACACTGAATGTCACCACCTCACTGCGCTGGGCTCCCAGCCCATTGTCAGCCTCACAGGAGTAGTTTCCAGCATGTTCTGTGTTCACCAAGAGGTTGAAGGATGCTCCTCCTCCCCAGGGAGCTGAACTGTTCCCCAGAGTGACATTTTCACGGTAAAACCGGTACAGGATCGGGGGAGAGCCTCTCAGGGACTCACAGTGAAGCTCCACTGTGTCCCCAATCACGGCCTGGCCTTGAGAGGACCTGAAGGTAAAGACTGGGCAGGATACTGGAACTGAAGGAAGAAATACAGTTCACAGATATGCATGATTATATATGCAAGAGAACTTAATAAAAGCATATACAGCATAATTTATTACACTACCATGGATCTGGATTCAGGAAAAACTGGATTTTAATCCTTTTGCTAGCTCTGAAATCTTGATCTTTTTTTTTCTATGGTACTGGAGATTGAATCCAGGTCTTTGCCTATATCAGATAAGCACTCTATAATTGACCTACATATGCAGCCCATTTTATTTTTCCATTTTGAAATTATCTTGCTAAGCTATCCAGACTGACTTTGAACTTGTGATTCTTCTGCCTCAGCCTCTCAAGTAGCATGGATTACAGGCTTGCACCACCATACTTGACTGTAACTTTGAATTTTAAAAACTTATTTATTTATTCTTTTGTATAATGAATATATCACAAGCCATTATTGTTAAAACCATATATAAATAGTGATGCTATTTATTAATGACAAAAATAACTAATAGTTGAATCTTAGCTCAAATATCAAGACTTTCACATGTCTGAATTAGAATTTCATTACTCTCTGTTAGCTTGCTTTATTTTTCAGGATAGTATTAGTAGTACCTAACGTCTGTCCATTCATTCATCCATCCATCTACCCATATTCATCCCTCCACCATTTTGCATATCTGATTACCTCAATAGAATATAAATTCCATTAGAATAGGGATTTATCTGTTCTTTGCTGTATTTCCAGCTGATGGGATTTTACACAAAATTCAATAATTGCCCCATATTTGGTGGCTATATGGATGACTAGGTTGATTCAGACTGGCACAAAAATACCTACATGCAGCTCTAGCAACAATGATTTTCATTTGCACTGACAATTATAGAAATAAGACAGCCAACAGCCAGTAAATGAATGGAAAGAGAATTAAAAGATAGAAGGAGAGCAGAGAAAGGCTAGAGAGGAAAAAAATGCAGCTTGAAGGGAAGGAGGTAAGGGGACATTAAAAGCATTAAGATACGTTATGTATATGACATATGAATGAATGCAATCACTTATTCACAATGAATTTATCATTATATATTGGAAACATGTACTTAATAAAAATATTTTTAGAAGAATAGAAAACCAAGGACTGGGGATTTAGTTCAGTGGCATAAGCCACTGTCTGGCAAGCACAAGGTTGTGAGTTCAATCCCTGGTACCAAAAAAAAGAATAGAAAACCATTAATGTGGAATGCAAACTATAAGATTGTTGCTTCAGTTAAGTTGTGAAGAAACCTGATCAGTCAGTCTATGTTCAGGGCTTTAGATATAAGCTATGTACTTTATTGGCATGGAAGACTGGGTAAAGATCGCAATGACCAGATTTGAAAATGAGTCACATTTTGGATGCAAGAAAGACGACATTGGCTACCTCACCATGGTAGAGATGCCAACTCACAGTATTGCAAATATGTGGCTGCTGCTAAATCTAAGTAGACAGCTTGGTCCTTCTCATACCCTCTGAAATATGCTACAACTAGACAGACTTTGTGGATGCAGAAGGGCTCAGAGAACTTTTTCCTTGGTATTTTGCAAATCCCAGCCCTACCCAAGTTCCTGGACTTCTTCATTTTGGAAGCAGAGATTCCCAGCTATTTCCAGTCACCTCCATCGCAATCCTTCCATAAGATATCACTGAACCTCTAGTTCTATATGAATATTCCTCTGACATCAGAGAAGTCTATGACTAAAACACACTGTGATTATCACCAAGTTCAGTAAGTATTTCATACCTAATGGGGTGTGAAATAAAATATGAATACTCTGGTACTTTCAGTTCACGAAGGTAATTTTTTCCACAGTTCTGGAAAAGATGGCCAAGTTTGTGTTTGTGCAGAAAAGGTAGCCACAAGTTGTGCCTGTCACCCAATGCAGAATTTGAAAGTAAAAAACAAAAATTTGCCAACTGCTTCAGTTTGTGAACCCAGCTGTTCGCAAACAAAAGCATTCATGAACCAAGGTACCACTGTATTTAAGAATGCTTAGTTTTTAACTTAGATGTAAGAAAGACAGTCAGGTTTCCTAATGCATCAGCAGTCTTTCTCAGACCTCCTGTCATTTCTCGTAGTCAGAAAACCTAAGAGGTCCTGTGAAGACAGGGGTGCTCTGGGCAAACAGATGTAGACAGCAGGTACTTCACTTGTTTATGCATTCTTAGCATACTGAATCATATAATCAAGTTATTGATTACTAGCGTGCTTTTACAGGTTGTCTTATGATGATGGTTGTAGTGGTTGTGGTGGTGGTGGTGGTGACAGTGATGATGATTAGTCGTACTGGAAATGGAACTCATGATCACTCAAAATCTTTACAGTTCTTTGTAATGAGATTGGAGAATAAAAAAACCATTTTTATATTGCAAAGAAGTTGCTAAATTATTTTGGTGGTAGTGTTCTAAAGTGAAAACTCAAAGATATTAGTATAAATTAGTATTAGTATTTTAAGTAGTTACTAATGATCTCCTGGATTTTGCCAGTGTCCATTCCGAATGCAATTTTATATTTTTGATTGCATTGATGTTGGTCTTTTTTTTCTTGTGATAAGTTTGGCTAAAGATTTTTTTCTTTTCTTTCTTCTTCTTCCTCTTCTTCTTCCTCTCCTCCTTCTCCTTCTTCTCCTTCTCCTTCTCCTTCTCCTTCTCCTTCTCCTTCTCCTTCTCCTTCTCCTTCTCCTTCTCCTTCTCCTTCTTCTTCTTCTTGTTTTTTTGTACCAGAGATTGAACTGCAGCTGAGCTAAATCCCCAGCCTCTGGATAAAGTTTTGTTTTCTATCTTTTCAGCCTTTCAAACATGACTCTTTATTATATGTATTTTTATTGTCAATTTTATTAATTTCTGCTCTGACTTTTATCATTGTCTTCCTTGTAGTAGCTTTGGTTTCGATAGTTCATATTTTTCTAAGAACTTGAGGTACATCTTTAGGTTAATTATTTGGGCTCTCTGTTTTTCTCAGGTGGAAATTCACAGTTGTAAACTTCCATCTTAGAATTATTTTCATTGTCCATTGAATTATTTTCATTGTCCATAGAATTATTTTCATTGTCCTGGTGTGATGTGCTGGCATTATTTTTTGATTTGAGGACTATTTAATTTCTTGAATTTTTCTGTGATTCATTGTTATTTGAGAGTTTATTGTTTAATCTCTGTGTTTGCATAATTACTGCTGTTTGTTTGCTATTTATTTCTAATTTCATTACACTATGGTCTGATAACATGTATAGGATAATTTTGGTTCCTTTGAATTTATTTAAGTATCTTAATGGGCTAATGTATGGTTTCTTTTAGAGAAATTTCCTGTGCTTCTGAGGAGAATGCATATTCTGTAGTTATTGGGTGGAATACTCTGTAGATATCTACTACTAAGTAAGTTTGTTCAAAAGTGTGGTTCAACTCTGATATTCTTGGATGATTTTTTTTTTGTCTAGTTGATCTGTCTATTTGAAATAGTGGGTACTGAGATCCCACTATAATTGTTCTAATGTATATCTGATCTTTTATGCCCACTAGGGCTTGTTTTGTAAAGTAAGGAAAATCAGTCTTCAGTTAATATATGTATCTACAATTTTTATCTTCTCCTGTTGAATCTTTCCCATAACTAATATGTAGGGACTTTCTTTGCTTCTTCTGATAAGTTTTGACGTTGGCATGAAGTTCTATCTATCTATCTATCTATCTATCTATCTATCTATCTATCTCTTTTTCTCTGTCAGAAGCGTCTCAGGCTGTACTTCAGGCTGACCTTGAACTCACTATGTAGCATAGCATGGACTGACTTCAAACTTGCAGCCACCCTCCCTCCTTAGCCTCTCAGTACTGAGATGGTAGACATGTGCCATCACACCATGACACCTTTTCTCAAAAGAGGGTAGCTACATTTGCTTGGTTCTATGGTACAGAATATTGTTTTCCAGCCTGATTTTTAGTCTAACTTTCTTTCTGAATTAAGTATATTTCCTGTATGCAAGATACTGCTGTGATTTTTTTTTTCATCTAGTATGCTAACCTGTGTCTTTTGATTGGGGAGTTGAGACTATTCACACTGAGAATTATTATTGAAAGTTATTGACTTATTCTGATCATTACATTATTTTCCTGCTGCTGAATCTTTTTCCCTCCAAATTACCCTGCCTTTTAAAGGGTGTGTTGAGAAGTTTACTATAATTCTAAAGAGTTTACATTAATATGTGACTTGTTGGTTTTTCTCTAATAACTTTTAAGATTCTGTCCTGGAGTTGGACTTCTAGGATTTTGACTAAGATGTATCATGGATAAATTCTTTTCTGATTGTGACTTTTTGGAGTTTTATATGCCTAGATTACCTTTATGTTAAATTCTTTCCCTGTTCTTGGGAAGTTTTCTGCTACAATTTTTTTTTTTGGCAGCTTTTAATGGCATTCAAGTTTTCTTCTGATTTTTCACTAGTGCCAATTAATCTTAGGTAACTCTTCAGAGCCTCATCTGGCATGTGTTGGATCTGTTTTTAATTGTTGTCTCTTTTTAAAATGTGTCTTTAATTATATGGTCAGTTGCATCAGTCGTGACTTCTAGTTCTCATATTCTTTCTTCAAATTGATTACTTCTGCTCCTCACAATTCAACAAAATTTTGTATCTTCTGAATTGCTATTTTGTGCCTTTTCATATCCTTTAATTCTTTACTGAACTGATTGCTCACTCTTTGTTTTGTTCAGTTAAGGTAGCTCTTTATTTGTGTTTTCTTTAACTTCATTGACCATTTTGTTTATTAGATTCATTACCTAAATTGGAGAACTCAGAAAAAATGAATAGATTTGTAGATACATATGAATTACCAAAGATGAACCAAGATGATATAAAACTTTGAACAGTGGACTAGGGATTTAGCTCAGTGGCATAAGCACCTGCCTTGCAAGCATGTGGTCGTGAGTTTGATCCCTGATACCAATAAAAAAAAACTTGAACAATCAAAAACAGGCATAAAAAATTAGGTAGCAATTTTTTTAAAACCCTACCAAGTTTTTAAAAAAATGTAAAACCCAGTAAGTTTACCACTGTATTCTACAAGAACTTCAGAGATGATCTAATGCCAATACACCTCAAATTCTTTAATGAAATTGAAAAGTAAAGAATACAGCCAAACTCAATCCTAGAAGCTAGTATTATCCTGATTCCAGGCAAAAGCTCAACTAAAAAAGAGAACGACATGCCAATGTCTTTAATGAACTGAGATGCAAAACTCATCAACAAGATATTGGCAAACAGAATGTAAAAAATCATCACAAATATCATACATCATGACCAAGTAGGCTTCATCTCAAAGAGCAAAAATGGTTCAATGTACACAAATCAATAAATGAAATATGGGGGCTGGGGATTTAACTCAGCAAGCATAAGCGCCTGCCTTGCAAGCAGGCAGTCGTGAGTTCGATTCCCGGTACCAATAAAAAAAATGAAATATAGCAAATAAGCAGCATCAAGGATAAAAATCATGCCATTATCTCAATAGCAGCAAAAAATGCCTCTGAAAAATCTAATACTCATTCACGATAAAACCCCTTAATAAAATTGGTGTAGAAGGGATTTATCTCAATCTGATAAAAACCAATTATAACAAATATATGACCAGTCTCAGACTAAATGGAAAAAACCTAAAAAATTTTCCTCTAAAAATTAGGAGCAAAATAAGGACATCCATGGCTATCACTCTTGCTCAATGTAGTACTCGAGACATTAGATAGAGCAGTTAGGTAAGAGAAGGAAATCAAAGGAATATTTAGATGAAAGAAACTATCCTTATTCAAAGATAACATGATCCTTCACATAAAAGACAAAAACAATCCACCGAAAGACTACTAGAATTAATAAATAAATGCAGCATTGTAGGAGGATACATAATCGACATGCAAAATCCATAACATTGCTACACACAAATAATAAACCCACTGAGAAAGATATCAGTAAGTAATGTCATTCATAATGTCTTCAAAAAAATAAATATGCAGGCATTAACCAATCAAGGAAGTAAAAGGCCTTTATAATGAAAACTACAGTGTTCTGTAACGGGAGATTAAAATGAACATTGGAAAATGGAAAGATACATCATCTGGAGAGGCAGAACAAATATCAAAATACTGGTCATACTACTAAAATTGATGTATACAATGAATGAAGTCCCAATCAAAATATCAACAGCATTTCTCACAGAACTAGACAAAACAATCCTAAACTTTATGTAGAATCAGAAGAGACCCAGAGTAGCAAAAGCAATCTTGTATAATAAAAGTAAAGCAAGGAGCATCACAATCCCAGAGTGCACATTATATTACAAACTATAGGAATAAAACAGCATGGTGCAGGCACAAAAACAGACTTGTGGATCAGTGGAATCAAATAGAGGTTGCAGTAACAAGCTTGAGCATAGTAAACTATCTGATCTTTGACCATGAGCCAAAAGCATACATTGGAGAAAAGAAAGCCTTCTCAACAAATGCTGCTGGCAAACTTGTTACAAATATGCAGAAGACTCAATTTAGATCCCTATCTTCCAAAATATATGAAAACAATTTTTAAGTTGATCAAAAATTTAAGTAGTAACACAGAAGCTATCTGCCAGAAAATAAAATATGTAAAACTCTTTACAACAGCTATGGTTATGGGTGAGGACATCTTGAATACAGCCCCAGCTACATAAGAAATAATATGAACAATCAGTAAGTGGAATTATACCACATTAAAAAAAACCTTCTGCATAGCAAAGGAAATAACTAACAGTGAAGAGACAAACTATATGGTGAGAAAATATTTTACCAACTACTGCTCAGATAGAAGTCTAATATCTAAAACATAGAAAGAATTCAAAAGAATTAGACCTCTAAAAATAAAAGGTCTAGTCAAAAGTGGAACAGTGAAATGAATGACATTTCTAAGAAATACAAATGGCCAATAAATACATAAGAAATTTTCATTAGAGAAATGCAAATGAAAATAACACTGAGATTCCATCTTACCCTGGAAAGATTGTTGTCATCAAAAACCAAATAATACAAATGCTGGTAAGGCTGTGGGGGAAAAGAACACTGCTACATTGTTAGTTATAATATAAACTAGTATGACTACTAGGGAAATTAATATTTAGAAAAGACTAAAAATAGAAATTCCACTTGATCCAGCCTTTGTCTTCCAGGTATCTTCCCAAAAGAGCTAAAGACATTACATTACAGTGATACCTGTTTACTTATACTACGGAAGAACAATTTTTAATAGTTAAATCTTGGAAACAGCCAATATATCCATCAATGGGGGAAGGAATAGACCAAATGTGGCATTTATATACAAAGATAAATTTGTGCCATATGTGGAAAAGTGGGTTCACCTTGACACCATAATATTAAGTGAAATAAATCAGACACATAATGTTAAATTTTGCATGGTTTCTCTTATGTGAGAAGCCCAAAGAACATATAATTTAAAGAGCAAAATAAAAAAATAGATAAGAGGAGGTAAGGTAGAGATCTTTTGCAAATGGGAAGGTCCCCAGAAGGAAGATGGGACGGAAGTAGAAGGGGAAGTTAAAACAAGTAGCTTATGTTATATACAGGTACCAGCTACCCTTGATGAATGTAATGATTATATGCTAATGACATGTACTAATACAAACAAAATTTTATAAAAGAAAGGCTAATATTTGATTTTTGGTAAGTTTTGTTGTGTTTCATATTTTGGTGTTCAGTACCTATTGATTCTATCACACTTAGTAGACACTTTTAAAAATACTTTGTCTAGTAACCAGGGGACCAAATAAAGATAAATACTGGACAGAGAAAGGGGAAGAAAATCATGGCAAGGAATGGTCTAACAATTCTTTACCTGGACAGAGGAGAGGAATTCAGAAATAAGGACTCCTATTGCATGTTGCTTTGTCAGTAATTGCTGGATAAACATGTCGGGTATTTTGAAAAGTCTCTGCTTTTCTTTTAGAAAGACTGGGAGGGGTATGTGTGCTTGTTGAAGACACTGAATAGAAATAAAATGGTGCTATAACTCCCATTACCGAATGTGAGGTCACTAGAAGAGCCTCAGTGCTCCGAAGTAGAGGGAGAGCATGTGAAAAATTTGCCCGATTTCTCCACCAAAATCTGGTGGGTGTCACTCCATCAAAATCCCAGTGGGTCTCTGTTTGTGGAACACCATCTGAAACAAGCTTATAAACACCGTGGGACAGCTGGCTTACCTGTGACCTTCAGGCTCACCGGGTGGCTGTGCTGGGAACCCAGGCCATTGTCAGCCTCACATGAATATTTTCCGGAGTGTTCCACAGTCAAAGAGAAGTTGAAAAATGCTCCTCCTCCAGAGGGGGCTGAGCCACTCCCCACAGTGACATTCTCATGATAAAACTGGTACAAGATTGGGGGAGAGCCTCTCTGGACCTCACAGTAAAGCCACACCAAGTCTCCTACCACAGCCAGGGCCCTGGGAGCCCTGATCGTGAGGACCGGGTTAGAAATCGGAACTGGAGAAATGAAAAGACTGTCAGAGAAGAGAATCTGCGATATTCATAACCCCACTCCAGAGCCTTAGAAATAGAGGCAGCCTCTGAATGTTTCTGTTTCTTACTGACTACACTTTTGTCCTCTAACGCTCAGAAAAAATGTCCCATTACCCTGAGAAATAATCCAGGGTAATTTTGTTTCCATCACCACTCATTTCTCTCCATAAATAGCAAAAGTGTTTTCAACTTATTTTGTCATCTTAGTGACAGCTTGGCTAGCTTCCACATCTCTGACCCTTCTTGTCCTTAAAGATCATGGTTGATGAAGATCTGAAACCTTGGCTTGTGAATCAAGGCTGAATAAAAGGAACCAGAAACTTACTTTTCACAGTGACGCTAATCTTCTTGCTGAGGATGGGGCCATTATTGTTGTCAGCAGTACAGTAATATCTTCCGGCATCACGTTCCGTCACTGTGGGCAGCTGTAGCTCTGCCAACTGGGAATGCTGGGTCTTTATGCCCAGAATTCCCCTTCCATCTCTGTGCCACGAGAAGGTAATATTGCCTGTGCCCTTTGCTACTGAGCAGATAAGGACCAGTTTGTGTCCTTCAATCAGCTGCCCCTCTAGGGGCTGGATCTCTAAATTCACATGAGACACAGGGATCCCTGGAAGGATAAAAGGTAACATGTAAGGGTCCTAGCAGACGGGACTTCAAAGTCAAAGAAAAGCCTGATGCTGTTGCAACAGTCAGGAGACAAAAGCAGGGAATAAGAAATTAATTGTGCATATTATATAAGGGACCAACATCACTACCCACTCACAATTTCCATTTTGGAGAATGTAGGCACCAAAATCCATCTAAAGCTAATTTTTTTCAAAAGTCACATTTTTTAACATTTATGAATCTTTGATGCCATGGTAGATCACAGAATAACAAAGACTATAGTTACTTCTAGCCTCAAATGACTTTCCTCAGAATCTAACCCTCTCTCCTATTCTTCCAGAATTCCTCAGTTTCACCCTATGTTCTCACATTCTTCTCTGATTATTTCTGCGCATATTCAACGTCTTTGATTATTTTGATATGAGGTGAGGTCAAACATGGGGATCTCTAGAGAGTATATGCTGTCACTGGAACTTCTGATTATGTTGACTCATGCAGTGGCATATCCTGTACATCTCTGTAACTCTTACAAGGTTGGGTCCCTTTAATTGATCAATAAGCACCATTACCTAACTCAGATGAAAGAGACTCGCTAGATACATTAATCCAATGTGGAGCCTACAGAGGGCAGGTCCTCTCCATGTCCAATATCCTGGTTTACGTTCTAATGTCCTCTCCCCAGCCCCAACCTCACAAGAGCTGACCTTTTGAACACTCACTCTGCACGTGTATCTGAGACCTCTGGCTCTTTTTTGTGATCCTAGTAGTCGCTGCCTGGCACCAGTAGGACCCTGAGTCTTCATTCCACATAATGGGGATCTGGAGCTTTGGGGAGCTGCTACAGCCTGACCCAAGAGTCTGGACATCTCTGAAAAAGCAGAACTGGAGCTGAACATCTGGCTTCCATGGAGAGAGCTGGGTCTCACAGGTCAGCGTCACTGGGCCACCCTCTATGGGCTGGGAGGGCCTAGCAGTCAGCACAGGATGTGGAAACAGTTCTGGAGAGAACAAATAATCTTTATGGCAGTGAGATACAGAGCTCCTGGAGAGATACACCTGCATTCTCAGCACCAGCAAACAAGAAGTAGAGAATACTCCAAGTGGCACCATCTCCTTCCTATGGCTGATCTATAAAAGAATTTTCACAAACTCTCCGCTGAAAAGCACTCATTCTCACTCAGTTTTGTTGCCCAAACTTATATCCCACAGAAACGTATCCATTACCTTGAAATTGAATCCTCAAAGAGTTTGAAGTTTCTGTCCATGGTATTATTAATTTCCCAGAAGCAGTACATTTATATTCACCAGGGTCCATGAAGACTGAATTTATAATGATTTGTTGAAGATTAGAACCACCAAATATTTTTTCTTCATCTTTGTAGTAATCCCTTTGAATTATGCTCTTTTCCTTTTTCCCTAGGCATTTCAGAGTTACACTATCTCCTTCATAAATAGGGTGTTTGGCCTGGAGGATCAGCCAGCCTGCAAAGAGTGGAAAATGTACCCAGTTCATCCCTGTTGTTTCTTCCTTCTGTCTCATTTCTATCCATGACCAAAAAGCTACAGACCTGCAAATCTCCATCAACGTGTCCACATCCTCAATACCAGACTCTTCCTTCCCTTATGAGAGGAAAATAATTTCCAAGAATTTCAAGGAAAATGTCCTTGAGAAATTCTTACGTGTATTTCAACAACAACAACAAAAAAGGAATTGTAGCCAATATCATTCTTCAGGCATGGACCTCTTTTTGGTGGTCTCTGGGAAGTGGACAGTTCTCTAGATGGAGGAGATGAACAATGTAGTATTGTACCACTGCCCTACCCACTGGAGTCAGCACATAACACAATGCCCACACTGTTTACAACTCTGCCTGTGTTCCCCACATTAATCCAGCCTTCAAACACTCTGCCCAATGAATGGCTTGACTATCAAAATTTCCCACAACCTTTCCTCACCAGAGGAAAATTCCACATGCACAGGGTCACTCAAAGAGGATCCAGGAGTCTTGCACTGGTAATCCCCAGATGATTTAATTTGGATAATTTCAGATACTTTCTTAAGTACTTTCCCATTTTGCCACCAAGTTGTGGGCCTCTTGGTTAAGGAATTGAAATCCATGCATCTGACAGTCACTATTTCTCCTTTGAATGCTGTGGACCATGGAGGATCAAGCTCAAGTACAGCCTTTGGAGGTACTCCTGAACCAGAGATAAAAAGATAAAGACCACTGAAGTGGCGTGAGCAGGGAGAGGAGGGCCCTGCTCTGCAGCTGGGAGTTTTCTGAGCTAATTCTCAACTGGGACCAGCATTGGAAATGGAGCAGAAGAAACATAAAAAAGTACCTGGGACAGAATCTGCTCTGCCTTTTCCATGGCTTACCCTGGACATGGGCAAGTGAGTACAATAGGTCTTGGGTTCTTGGTACGGCTCAGAAAAAACTCAGAAGACCATTTGTCTTTGATTTGTCATTGGACAAACACTGTGAGGGCCTCCGCACGTGGGTGGATTCTGAATCACTCCTGTTCCATTCATTCCCACTGCAGTTAAAGGTGAACCTGGAATGTATATGCCACCAATGCAGTTCCTAGACTCTTAAAAAACTACTTCTTGCTTGGCTACCAGCATTTAATGGACAAGATATTTATTCACTTTTATTACTTTTAAACTTTGGTTAGCAGGAGAGTCTACAAGAAGGTAACTGTTTTCCACTCTCCATCTACATTGGGCACAGTTAATAATTAAGGGGCCTAAAGAATTTAAATGAAGGATGGGTAGCTAGAGAAATAAGACTTGTGTTTAGAATTACAACTGATTGTTGGGCCTGAGAAGCTGAAGAATGACAATGACATGAGCTCCTTATAAACACACAGAAGCATTTTATGACAGCTTTTTCTGCTGTGCATGGAAGTTATTTCTGTTTCTTTTGGCAGCAGCACTAGTTTGAGCATACAGAGGGAGAGGTCTTGGGGAAAAGATCACATCTGAGATTATCTTGCTGCCAACCTCCTACCTCTACCCTTTCTTCTTCCAATCTTTTCTCCATCTCTATTCCTGGTTCCTTGTTAATGAGGGTGGCTGGAGACGGGAAGTTAGAGGAGGGTCCATTTGCCCGATAGTAATGTGTTACCTCAGAACAGCAATGCCCTGATAAGTGGCATGCCCTGATGTTCTCATTTACAAGGTTGGGATAGGTAGGCTATGCTAGCCAGGGAGACCAGTACTCAGAGCCCAAGAGGAACAGAGATAAAGGGGAACTTACGTGTTTGTTCTCTTCCAGGAGCTGTGAAGGAGCCAAGATTCAAAAATTAGCGTGGAGGAATGTATCTCAAGTCTTTCAGTTAGAGGCACTATGAGAAATTTTCCAACAAAATAACCACTACATCTTTACTTTTTCCTCTTATTCTTTGCCCCCATTATGTAGCACCCAGAGCCCCTAAATGGCAAGATAAATTTAGACTATAGTTTATTTTATAAACATTTATTGTCTTGTCGGCCACCTTGCCTCATCTTGTTTGCTGTTGCATGCTTAGCAGTTGCATACTTGAATCTCTCCCTCTCTCTCTGTCTCTCTGTCTCTCTGTCTCTCTGTCTCTCTCTCTCTCTCTCTCTCTCTCTCTCTCTCTCTCTCTGTGTGTGTGTGTGTGTCTCTCTCTGTCTCTGTCTCTGTCTGCCTCGCTCTCTCTCTCTCTCTCTCTCTCTCTCTCTCTCTCTCTCACTGTCTGGGAATTGAACCCAGGATCTTCATAATGAACTAAATCCCAGTTCTTTTGTTACAGGCAGGGAAATTAGTTATAGGCAGTGAGACAGGGCTAGGTCCTCAAAGAAGCCAGTGCAGAAGCCGAGATACCTTGCAACTGTTAGGAAACAGACGCCTCCTGCTGTGAGTCAGGCCTTATGACAAAAGATCAAACAAATGCACCTGTATCCTAAGGACTGATATTCTAAATAGTTCCCTATTGCCCTGAGGAAGTCAGGAGTCACCATCCCAACCTCCTAGGGAAGAGTCACTGCTCTCTAAGAATGCTACTTTCTGTGTGACTCACTTCCCCATTTGTCCCCAATTTAATCAGTTTTACCTGAAAAATTAATCTTACTGGTTAACCATAGTTTTGTGCCACCGTATGCCTGTCTGCCATGTGAGTTCCCAGTTTTCCCCACTTTGATCCTGTCTCACACCATAAATTTATTCTATAAAAGTTCCTAGAAAAGACAGAGTCCCTGGCAATCTACTCAGGATCACTTCCGTGTCTCTCTCATACAGAAGCTTTCTTTCTCACAATAGAGATATCCTGTTCTTAACCTCCCTTATTCCTATAATTCTAGAGAACACGAACTCATACTGGACATAGATTGGTTTGGAGTTTCATTCCTCTATATCACTTTTTATATTTATTTTTTGAGGTCTAGCTAAATTGTCTAGCTTTAAATCACCTAGCTTTTTAAAATCACTGTTTATCTAAAAAACATATTTAGTTTGAAATTGTAGGAAGAAAGAACGTAGTGTTATGATTTGGCAGGAATAACTGTCCAAGTTTGCTGTGGGATGAGAACATAAAAAAGAAATAACAATAGCAAAAACAGTGATGAGAAGACAAGAGCTCAGCTTACTCTGCTGCTTGCATTTGGAGACTTGGGGTAGGTTGAAGTCCCCGGGTCTGCTCATTGCCCATCTCTTGCTATCTGTCCGTACACTCGGGGTGGAGAAAGAGACAGAACATCTAGCTTTTACCCTGGCTGACCTTACGAACTGAGGGCACTGTCCCAGATGAGCCCATCTACTTACCCAGGAGCAGTAGGAGCAGCCACAGATGCATGAGAATCCTAAACAGCTCAGGGCAGGACATGCTTGTCTCACCAAGTCAGGCTTATCTCTGTCAAAGAAGGAAGGTGGAGGGTGCTACACAGACAAGATCTGCAAAAATTAAAAAAGGGAAGTGGAAGAACTTAGTATCACCTCATCACTTGGGTGCTGAAAATATGGCCACACTTGGAAGTGTATTTCAGCCCTGCCTCTGTGCACTTTCTGATGTTCAATATCGTCTTCTTACAGTTCCAATCTCTAAGAAGAAACCACGGCAAGGCTATACCTGACTAAGTTCTCTGAAAATGTCAAGCTGTAGATTTGCTCATATTCAAATAACTTGTTCCTCCTTTTTTCAAATGGAAAAACCCCTTTGTTAACTCAAATACAGTCTCTGGTTCCCACATGTGTCTTTAGACATAGCCATGCTCAATTAATGTGAAATTTTGCTGTGATTTCCGTGTGAGTCACATACAGCCAAGGTGTCAGCAGCACGTGCAACTTTTACATAAGTTGGCATAAAGTTCATGAATGGGAAAATAATAGAAATTTGCAAGTAGCAAGAAAGCTGCATGTTAGTTCCACCCAGATCTGTGTAAATTAGGAAAAAAAATAAACATACAAATAGGAAAAACTCTATTTTAAAATCAAAGTTATTTTTAGAAAAGCAAAGTCTCACATTGCATTCAAGAAGACTCCACCCCATTATTTTCCAATGCACGGCTTATGTGCTTTCCTCACAGTTTACCAGAATAGATAATTATTTTTCTCTGTGTTCTTGCCTTTTTTGTGTGTTGTTGCCACTAACATTTAAGGGCCCATGTCTGTGTTATCACCAGTGTATCCCTGGAGCCTCTCACAATGCTTTCTAATAAATATATTTTAAGATTATTGAATGGGCTGGGAAGAACTCTGGACTAGAGTTTATTGTCCTTTTTCTTCACTATCTGTCCTCTAAGTAGTCCTTTTAGATGTTTCTTTTAGTTACACTTCTCTTTCATGAAATTTTAATATCACATAGGGGTATACATTTGTGTACTGTATGTATATTCATGTTTTACACACAAAAAGAGTAAGGCTTATTTACCTCTCCATAAGCTACATCGTGGAATACATGATCTAGAAATAGAGACAGAAGCTTCTCAGAAATGCAAACACCAGGACAGAAAGCTGTGAACTTTCAGAAGACCTTTATGTTGAGATGAAAGATTATTGCAGCAAATGACTCGTCTATGTAACTGTATAATGTCTGTTTCTCTCCTGGGACTGCAGGATCACATGAAAGAAGTCTGGCTTGTTTTGCACTGTATTTCAGATGCCCATTATGTACTAACTTGTTAGTAAAAATGCTGAATGAGTGAACAGCTAATGGACAATAGATAACAGGATAGCAAAAGACAGTCAGATATATATAAGAAAGATTTTCCTCCAATATTCTGGAAAAGAGGCACTGATTCCATTAGTGTATTCAAATGCAATTAAACTTTATTAACAATGTACCAGCTCGTTCACAGTTACTCTAAACTGTAGAGTATGAGTGTCACTTCTGACTGCTCAAGTTTAATCTAGATGTTCTTCTCATGTTGTTCTTTTCTTAAAGATATTCACATTTACCCCATTAAGTATAAATATCTTTAAGAAAAGAAATATCTCGGACTCACCTGTGATTTCTCTACAGCCAGCACAGCCATCAACAAAAGCATGGCTCAGTTGCATTTGGGTGGCTTGGAAATACAATGTGTCGAAGTAAGTCTAATGTGCATGAACAGAGGCAAATTCACTTCTCGGTAAAAGGTGAAGATGTCGCTAATTATTACTAACAGTTGTTTCCTGTGGTTGGAAAGACATATCCAGTACAAGCAGCTTTGAATGTTATTGTGCATGCAGGGCCAAAAGTACTGTAGTTTTTATGTCTCTTTGTAAGATAGCAATTATGCCTTTGTTTCCATTATAATTTCAGTAACAAGTAAGATTCCTGACAGTCCTTGTAAGGTTGCTAGATAAAATATTAGGTGCCCAGTTAAGTCTAAATTTCAAATAAAAACAATAATTTTTATTATAATTTTTATTTTTATTATCTCAGACAATATTTGTAGTCTACCTTCTGCCTTTTTTTGTTGTTCTGAGACAAGGTCTCACTCACTATATAACCCAGGCTGACCTTGAATTAGCAATCTTCTTATTTTTACTTATATGTATTGCATCTTGATCCTTTTTAATATTTGGAATATTTTTACACTAAAAAAGTTGTCACTGTTCACCTGAAATTCAAATGTAACTAGGAATCCTGTATTTTTATATGTTACATCTTATAGTCATGACTGAATCACTTCTAATTTGCATGAATGTATTAATGAATGATGTTAGTGGGAAGGACACTGGTTTCCTTCCACGTGCACGTAACTGCAACTTTCTCTACACCTCCTTAACTTTTCTAACTTGGGAGATGGGAAGTGCTTTATTTGCTATGTAAATTTTGGAAGATAAATAAAGCATGCTGTGCTCAGCTCCAAGCTCTTCCTTCCCCTGGGACACAATCCTGGTAATAGACAGGTCTGGTAACAAGAACTTCTGCACTGCAGAAAGTCTACAATTAGAGGGTAAGTTCCTAAAGATTCAAACAACTGGAGTTTGGGCTTAGATACAAGAGAAAGAAACAAATATACCAGAGTCATATGACATAAACAGTGATAGTCAGTGGGACCAGGCTCTCTGGCTGTCAGCCTTAGCTTTTAGTGAAAGAACAGGGCATTTTGCAGATTGGAGAGACTAAGATGACTAACTTTGAAATCTAATTACTAAGCCTGTGCAAGAGGCTTGTGGCTTCAGAGCCCATGGTTCTGACTTTAGAGGGTAACATCAGCTAATGATAGTTTTTTTCACAGGCCAATGGCTGCTTTTATAAAGGTGGGACTGAGGTAGGACTGTACACAGAGATGGCATTAATCAAAGGTCACAGGGAGCTCATGAAGAGCCTTTAGAAAGCTGTGAAGGCCTTTCTAATAAGGGATAGATGAGGTACCGGTTAGCCTCTAGGTAGCTGGCATTTGAATGACTGCAAGGGCTGCCCCACCACAGAAAGGTGGAAGCTGCAGGGTATCTCAACTAAGGCCAGATTACTTCTCCTAGGTAGTCAGAGTTGAATCAGACAGTTAGCAAAAGTAGAATTCTCTACAACTTCTGTAGGCACTGGTGATTGCAATACTATTTTTGGCTTGAATATTCTTTGTGTTCTGCAATATGACAAGAAGGACCATGTTCCAAATTGTGAGGGCCAAGCTTCAAAAGGATGCCTATATTAGGAACTCCAAATTCTGCCCTGCATGTAGGCCCATGGGGCAAACTGGAAAGACCATTTCTGAACTCATGTGATGTTCTCTGAATCCAAGGGCAGAAAATATCTAAAGAATTCCTGAGGGACTCAAGATAGTATAGTTACTGTAGGCAGCCATGCTGGTCTTTTCTGTATCATACAGGAAGATGAATGATAAATCTATGCAGTTCAAAAGAAGATAAACATCAGATTGCTGGGGGTCACATCTAGGAAGGATTGGTGTGATCTTTAGAGCAGTGGTCCTAAACCTTTTTGGCACCAGGGACTGGTTTTCTGGAAGACAATTTTTCAGGAACTGAGGTGGATTTTTAGTTGCTTTTTCTTTAATACTATATGTTTGCAATACTTAAAAATTCCATTCCTCAGCATCAGCATCACCACCTCAGCTCCACATCAGTCATCAGGCATTAGTTTCTCAACAGGAATGCTAGATCTTTCTCATACGCAGTTCAAGGTAGGATTCAGTTTCCTATGAGAATCTAATACTGCTGCTCAGGCAGCAATGCTGGCAATGAGAACAGCTGTAAATAAAGAGAAAGTGTCAACTCCTTGCCCACTGCTCACATCCTGCTGTGCTGCCAGGTTCCTAACAGGTCACAGACATGCACCAGTCCATAGACCCAGGGTTTAGGGACCACAGACTTAAGAAATTTCTTACTAAACTCAGATCTGAGACATGAGAAGTGCTTCAAAGAGGAAGTAAATGCAAGTAAGTTTTTATAGAGCCAATGGAAAAGACACCAAATAAATGATTTCCACCTATCTCCCAAAGAGTAGATGATAGTGACTGTCAACATTCACTTTGTATAAGAAGATGTCTCACAATTCAGTTCAAGTTCAAAGGTCCTGAGAAATCAATCTGCTGAAGCCTTACTAAGAGTTTAACATTCTGTCACAGGTGAATGCATCTCTGTTACTATCTTCAGAAACAGCAGTAACTGAAACAACCTTAGCTCCACCCAGACGTACAGCAGTTACTAGTTGCAATTAACCAGAGTAAGAAATCCAGGGCCACAGCCAGCTGTGGTAGTACATGCCTGTAATCTCAGCACTAGGAAGCTGAGGCAGGAAGATCACTATGAACACAAGGCCAACTTGAACTACACCGCAAAACTCTGTCTAAAAAGGGCACTCATATTGTCAGGTGCTTTCTTTCCACTGCTTCTAACTGTCAGCATTAAAATAGTCATACTTCTGCTTTCAAACCAAAACACTGTCTTTCTAACCCAAGCGCAGCTGAACTCCAGAGAGTATCTTGTTTTCGTCACTTTTCAACTGTGCAATCTTTGCCAAGTTATTGGACCTCTAATACTCTAATGCCATCATCTCTAAAATAGGCATGCTAGGAATAATACTAGTAACTAGCACAGAATGAATGTGTTACAAGTGTTAGATTTTATTTTTATCATTCTAGTCTCCCAAGTGCTTTATATGCAAACTTAATGAAACCGTGATTTCATGTGCTCTGCATTTTCCCTGGTCACCCAAGTTTCCAATCCATTTGGAAAGTTTGCCTTGTAATTCCAGTTGAGCTGGACTTTGATTTTTAATGTTTTCACACATTGAAACATTCTGTACCTTTGGTTTCCCTGACACAGTGCTCTCTGCATTTCCTCTCTACATCTCTTTCTGTTCCTTCTCAGAGTCTTTGCGGCTCTTTCTCTCTTCCCATTCCATTCTGTTTTTGCACCCTTCTTTACTTCTGTCTCCTGCACTCATGGTGTTCAATTATCACTTTGTTAAACTCACTTCTTTTCTTACTCTAGAGCCTGGATGAAGCATCCAACATGTACTAAGCATTGTCCTCCATCTGTTTTACTGGCATCTCCAAGCTTTATGTCCAAATTGGAAATTCGCTTTAACCACATTTTTCCACCATCTCCTCCAGGGCTCAGGGCAGAAACTGCACTCTTCTGTTCTCATTCCCAGCTCTATTATTGCACTCTGATAAAAATCGCTATTGTTGATATTGATACCTTTCACTTCTTGCCATGACCCTCTTGTAGCCCATCAATATCAACCTATTATTTTAAAGAACTTTCTTTGTTTCTAAATGCAACATACATGCAAC